GCGCGAAATCATATGAGGCCGTTCGGCCATATGACATCGGTAGATTACATTAGATCACGCAGGAGGGAAAGCTGTCACCTTATAAAGGTTGTGACCAAAAATTATGTAAATAGAAGAACAATGTATATTTTAAATTTAATTTAAAAAAATCTTTACACACGTGGAATGCGCGACATCATATGATGTTCTTAAATTTGTCCTTACTTTTAACATATGACGTCCCTAGATTACATTTGATCATGCAGGAACGAAGGCTGTCTCATTATAAAGGTGGTGACCAAAAATCATGTAAATAGAACAACAATTTATATTTTTAATATAATATTAAAAAAAACCTTACACGCGTGGAATCCGCGACATCATATGATGACGTTCGGCCAGCTGCCCTAACTTTTAACGACATCATATGATGACGTTCGTCCGATAAAGGTTAAGATCTGTTTTAATAATGTCCTCCCACCTGTGCCTTTGCCTACCAAATTCCCTCTTCCCTTCACGTTTTCTGACTAAAATTATGTATCCATTTCTCATCTCCCCGTGTGTGCTCCAAGACCCTTCCATCCCACCATTCTTGATTTTATTACTGTAATACTGTTTTGTGAAGAGTAAGCTGTGAAGCTTCTCATTGTGCAGTTTCCTCCATACTCCTGTTATTTTGTCTCTCTTTGGTCCAAATATAGTCCTCCTCAGCACCCTGTTTTCAGGCACCTTTATTCTATGTTCTTACTTTAAAAATAGCAGGTAAAACTGTAGTCAAGTACATTTTAATCTTTATGTCTTCCTATGATAGTAGTATTACTAAAATTGATAGCCAACAATTTGAACATGGTGTGTTGCATATAGAAAGGTGGAAAAATAACCCTCACTGGTGACATATTGCTCCATGCAGTTACAAGCAGGCACATCTAATCACTTACTGGATACATACGTGGTTACATTCATAGTTACTTTAACTTCTTCCAGTATGGGACATTATCACTTTAAATCCCTCATTACAGTTGTCACACTGAAGGTTATCGTGTTAAGACAAAACATACTGTTGCATTAACATCATTAATTTGATAACACTGTGAACATGGGTAGAGCCATTTTGATATAATTAAAGTGAGGCACTGTGTCATTCACTTTCATTTTTCTCTCTCCATCTGTCTGGAAACATCATGCTTCCTCTGTTCCTACATGACCTCTATGGATTTTGCAACTGACATTGCAGTCTAAATGCATAACATAGTCATAACATTGTTTAAATCATTCTTTGAAAATCTGTGTACTATGATAATGTTATTAATATATTATATTAATATTTATTAGTCCACAGTCTGTTTATATGAAGCTAAAAGAAGCATTAGCTAGTAGTGACATAGTTGTGACCACTGGTGGTGTTTCCATGGGAGAGAAGGATTTACTGAAAGAAGTTCTTGTAGCAGATGTTGGAGCTGTCATCCATTTCGGACGTGTTAAAATGAAACCAGGGTATGTTTCTCCATATTATTTCATTGTATGTCGACCAAGTCATGTGTCAGTATATTTTATACAGAACTGAATACAAAATTTAAGTTATATTAGATTTAAATCTAGTTTTTCTTATGTGTGTTTTGAAGTCTATTATGTATTTGGTACATTGACATTTACATATAACCAGTACAGCTGAATTAACCATAAACCCTTTGACTGTTACCTCTTGACCCTCAAATGAATAAAATGTCACTTGCCTCTGTGCACAGTTTTGATTTATTTTCTATAAAAATATCGACAACCTCTCTGTATTTTCATTCATGTTTATGTAGATCGTGAAATAGTACTAATACATCATTCAACATATAGTTCAGGTGCTTTTATTACAATACCTGATATGAAAATTACAGAGTAATTCTCCGGTTATTCCACTACTTTTTGACATAGTCTTTGCAAAAACTGAGTCATCATGTTGTGAAACAGATTTTTCTATTCCTTGCTGGTAGGATTCAGTGTTCTTATTGCTCAACCATCTTTCATTGCTGCTTTCATGTTATCATGATGTTGAAACCATTGACCTCAAAGATGTTCTTTCTGCACCACAAAAAGATGGTAATCAATAGGTATCAGATTAGGGCTGTATGTGAGATATTCCAGTATCTTCCACCAGAGACATTGCAGAAGTTGTTGGGTTGCCATGATGGAGTGCAGCTTCACACTGTTCTACAAATGCAGAGAAGTCCAGAACATTTCCATTTAATAGTCATGTGTAAACATTTCGGTATTGCAATACAAGTCACTGATTTTGTGCCTTGTTCTTATCATGTCTATCAGCAAAATGCCTGTGTGATCCTGAAACACCATAGCCATGACTTTACTGACAGATGTCACAGTGCCCAAGACACTCAGTGTGCGCACAGTATGTTAAATTCTTTAAAGGCCTGAATGATGTTGAGTGTTCCATGTGACAGATTCATGTCATGTTGCAGTTCAGTCACTGTAATCCTTCTGTCATGGATCGTGTTTTCTATGAGTACATCCTTGTCAGCAGTTCTTGTGGACCTGCCATTCTTTCATGATTGTTCATACTGACTCTACTGACTCAAAACATATTTGCCATAAACTTCTACAAGCTGGCGATAAATATCTATTGCTGACATATTTTTATACATTCAAAAATCAAATTACATCAAACCTTCTTTCTTGGACCACTGTTGCAGTTAGGTAGACATTTCGTCTGATTTCATACATTAATGAAGTGGTAGATGGCAGGTGAACTGACATACATTGTAACAAGCAGCAATAAACATATCCCTCTGACATACCCATAATACATGTTGATTCCTTGGTTATAATGTTATATGCCTTGTAAACTTACCTTTTGACTATCCCTCATATTATTTATGAGCATTGACCTTAATTATTGTTTTACTTGTATATGTAAGGAGGAGGAGTGGAGGATGGAAAGGAAGACGGGGAGGGAGAGAGGAAGGAGAAGAAAGGCAGGAAGTATGGTTAATCTGTGTTCCAGTAAATATTGTATTTCTCTTTTCAGGAAACCAACAACATTTGCAACTTGTATATTTGAAGGGAAGAAGAAGCTTATGTTGGGTTTGCCTGGGAATCCTGTGTCAGCAGCTGTAACTAGCCATTTGTATTTGCTGCCAGCAATGAGGAAGATGTCTGGTTACACATTACCATTGGGCACAACAATTAAAGCAACTGTAAATATATTGTAAAGTTAAAATGAACAGGGACTTCAGTTTCAAGTGAAAAGATTTATCACACCAGCTGAGGATTGAGCTCAGGTCTCCTGTATTTCATGTAAATATATCACATGTCAGCTAAGTAGGACTGCCCCTTTTGGTGTGAAATGTTTTTCACTATGTAGTGTCCCATTAACAAGAGCATGTTAAGTTTCTGTACTGAGGCCACAGAAAGCTATCCCATGGGTTGACTATCTCCACATCCTTTCTGCTTGAGCTGTTACTGCTAGGGTGACCAACTTTCAGCCATGAATTTAAAGGAGATTTAGTCACAAGAAATTTTGCCCATTTTGAGCAGCATGGTGTCACTCCAGCAGTGTTCAAGGAATGGATAATATTAAACAAGACAATTTTCATTGTACATAATATACAGGTCACAATGTTCTGTCCTGTTCTGTTCACTTTGTGCTACAGCCCTGGGTGAGCCTTGGCCTTCTCTACAACCATTCTCCATAGCTGATGCATGCTACCATAGGAGTGGATCCATGCATGATGCCTGAGGCTAGTTGTTAGGTTTCTGAGCAAAATTCTTTTTACAGGATGAGGTTGTTAGCCTCATGCCCAACCCCCAATCTGGAGGACCGGCATATCTCTCTTAGCCTGGGGCCACATGAGCGCACAAAAAGTATCCGTTGTAATGCATTTCGTGATGTCAGTTGTAGAAATAGAGACCAATAGATCTCAACATAATGAGGCATGCGCTCACTTTTTGGCAGATGTCATAAGGTGCGTTGATTTTTGTTGGATGTATTTATGCTAGAACGCACGCCGAGCCTTGCTGACTGACATCACAGCTTTGTGTACCCTCAAATGGTGCCGGCCAGACTGGTGCGTAGTTTAACATCTGTCACTTGTATCTGGTTTTCCCTTTAAATTACTGCTGTTTCATCTTTCGCTGTGCTTCATAGTTTTGTAGTGTTTGCTGTTTTCTGTGTTTTACCATGGATATTTAAACGTTGATAAGTGCGGTACAGTATCATCCACTGTTACGGGACACTGCAGGTGCTGATTACAAAGATAAAACAAAAAACACCAGGCTTGGGTTGAAGTATCGAAGATTTTGTTTGAAGATTATGACAACCAATCTCAAGATCAACAAAAATTAATTGGTGAGTACAATACCATGCTACAGCGGGTAGTTTGTATTCTTCTAATGTTATTGTTAACGTGCTTTTACATGGGAATATGAAGTTAGGCTCTTTTGAAATCCTCTCAAGCTGCCATGGCAATTTACCACTATCACTAACAAAATATTTAGTCAACACATCTCGAAAATTATTGGTGGTTTTATTTACAACAAAACTACTAATGGTAGACCTCTCTTCTAAACCACAAACGGTCAAGGAATCATCCAAATTGAACCCATCTCGATCATGTACAAAGTTATGTAAAATACAACAGCATTTGACAATGTCAACTGCAAAATCAGTGCTTACATCCAGTGGCCTGTGAAGTATTCTCCATTTATTTGACAGAATGCCAAAGGAACACTCCACATAGTGTCTAGCTCGCTATAATCTGTAGCTGAAGACAGGTTTCTCTACTGGCAAACATGCACCGGAATATGGTCGTAACAGATGCGTAGAAAATGCAAATGCTCCGTCCCCTACAAAAGCAAATGGTGCTGCTTCGTTACTTCCAGTCAGCTGTTTAGGTGGAGGAATTCTTAGAAGGCCTAGCTCCACTTGTTTCCAAAGTGAAGAATTCTTGAATATAGTGGAGTCTGAGCCTTTGCCGAAAGAACCCACGTTAACATAAATGAACCTGTAGCTTGCATTGGCTATTGCCATTAATCCAATGGAAAAATAATGTTTGTAATTCATGTACAAGAACCCACTTCATTCAAGTTTAACTATACGGATATGCTTGCCATCATCTGCTCCAAGACAGCTGGGGAAAGATGCTGTATTTTGAAAACCTTGCGGAATTCTAGCCCATATTTCCTCATTTGTAGTAGGAAAGCATTCTTCTTTCAGTACACGCCAGATAATTTGACAAACTCTTCGTACGACTTGACTGGCTGTTGATCTACCTACTCGATAGCTGTAATGTAGGTATTTGAAACTGCATCCACTTGCAAGGTACCTGGAAAGGGAAAAAACTACTGGAGAAAAAAAGAAGTTAGCGCATATCAAAGACCAGACTATCGAATTTAAAAATAAACATATGATATAAGCAATTTAAATTTAATTTTTTTTTATTTTTCTGCTGTTTTAGTACAAGACATGGCATCGAAATGGAGAACAGTGTGAGATAACTACAATAGAAGCCTAAAAAAACAATCCATAAAATCAGGTTCTGAAGCCAAGAAAGTGAGAACATACATCTATGGCGAGCAATTATCCTTTCTAAAGAAATCTTTGGAACCAAGACCTACATGTACCATGGACACTCAACCGGACTCACCCAAAAACTAATGTGATGGAGATAATCGTGAAGCTGAAGAAGGCTGCCATACTCCTACCTCCAATGAAACAATGGTTCCTCCTCAACAGCTCCCATCTTCGCGTAAAAGAAAGTTAATGGATGTTGAACGTAGTTTCATTATGTTTATGGAAAGTCAAGCATGAAAAAGGCAACAGCACAAGAAGATGAAGATTTAGCATTTTTTCTACTCTATTTTGCCCACTGTTAAAATACTGACGCCGAATGAGAACATTTCGTTTATGCCCTTCTGTGCAAGAATGCTGTCTGCAGTCGGTATTACACCTGTGACCGACGCTGAACTTACGTTTACAAAGTATACAATAAGCTCTGTAAATGTTGGAGGGAACGAACTTGAACCATGAATATTCTTCTTCCCATTTTCTCAAGTAAACACATAACAAGTATTTAGTTTTCTTCCTAGGTGGAGGTTTTGCACTGTTGCTTTCACTTTTTGCTGTCACTGCTCATTATGAAAATGGATTCAATTCGGTAAAAATTTAAAAACACAAGGATGAACATGGCAGGAAGCAAGAACAGAAAGTATTACAATCCGGAAAGGGCTATTCCACTATCATTTAATATATTGTGACATGTTGAGCCATGGATGACGCCCCTCCCCCACCCGCCAGCCGTGATGCACCGAGCGAAGCCGAAGTGAGCCGATGTTAGCCGAGTCCTAGCATCCTGGTCGCTAGGCAACGCAAGTCAACAGCGATGACGTCACCAAGTGTACCGCGGGTTGCTAGGCAGCACGGGTAAACAGGATTGCGAGAGACAACGGTGGTAACAGCGGTTACTACCGCTAGCGTTACTAGCAACAAGGGTGTTTTATTACGTGGCCGTTTTCTGTATTGTCCGATCGAGGCTACATGAGGCACAGCGAAGGCTATTCACAGTCAGTCAGCCAGTCAGTGCGTTACCAACGAGTTCTCAGTTCGCAAGTTACGAGCTACAGACGCGTGTGCGATAACCAGTGATAACCAGTTATATCTGGAGTGTGTAATTCAGGGAGACTTGTATAGCTCCCGTGTTATTAATACGTGAAGACTCTTGAAGATAGTGTTAAGAGATTTTGTTGTAGGGTTTGTAAAGTGTGGAAACCCGTAATATTGTGATAATTATAGCCGTTAGTTGAAGATTGTTAAATAAACCAATTAACCATCTCTACGGCGTCTTCTGTAACGAAACACGTTACATTGGTGTCAGAAGTGGGATTTGAACTTACACATGTGACCGACGAGATTCGAACTCAAGACACGTGACAATTTGGTGTCAGAATTTTTACGAGCTTAAACACGCCACAAACAATTATTGTGCATCGAGTGTTCTACTGCTACAAAATGGAGAAACAAGAGATGCAGCAGATGATAGAAATGCTGAAAGAGATTAGGGCTATCCAAATAAAAGCACACGCTGACTCGAAAGCCTGGCGAGAAAAGATGGCTGCAGAGAGAGAAGCCTTCCAAGCAGAGACGAAAGCCATCGAAGCCAGGGCGGCCGCCATGCGAGCCAAGAGGTTGAAAACCAATATGAATGCCTG